AAAAAAACAAGTAAAAGCGCCAAATAGATGATGTGTAGGCAGGGTACAAGCAGGTCCGCGATTCGACGTCTAATACTAGCGGAGTCATTGATCGCGCTTCTATCAGCTGGAGAGGACAGACAAAGGGTTGCTCGAGGTGAACGAGTTGTTCACCCCGCGAACCGCCTCAAATGGGCGGAGCGACCCCGCCCATCGCGCCAAACGACCGCCTCCCGAAGAGCTGTAAACAAAGAGAGACAAGATCGAAAACCGCGTATGTGAACTATACAGTGACTTGTGGAGGCCAGCCGATGTACAAATCAGTGCTTTTATCCCCCAGACAGACAGATATCTTGTACCAATGAAACAATCCTGGAGGGATGGAAGGATTGGCTGGCGTAAGTGGATATCGAACTGCGATCCGAACCCGTGACTCTTCTTCTTCTTCTTCTTCTTCTTCTTCTTCCTCTTCTTCTTAGCGTTAGTCCAGCGCCGTCGCAGGATCCGCTGTTCTTTTCAGCCACCTCCATTTCATTCTATCTACGGCATCTTCTGCCGTCACCTTGGCTTCGGCGAGGTCCTTCTTGATCACGTCCCGCCATCTCGTCTTTAGGGTTCCTCGTGGTCGCTTACCTTGAGCCTCGAACTCCATTGTTTCCCTTATCGGATGGCTCTGTGGGTTTCCTAGTACATGCCCGAACCATCGCAAGTGCTGCTTTCTCATCTTCCGTTGAACTGGGGCTGTTTGCATAGCCGTCCTGACGTCTTCATTTCTAACCCGATCCAGCCGCGTCCAGCCGCAGGNCCATCTGAGCAATCCCATTTCAGCGGAGTGGAGCTGTCCACGAGATTTACTAACGGGCCAACACTGGCTGCAGTAGAGCATCGTGGGCCTTACCACTGTCCGATACACCTTTCCTTTGAGGGTCCTGGAGCACCGACGGTCGCAGAGGATACCGGTAGACTCCCTCCACTTCATCCATGATGCATTTATTCGGGATTTTACGGCCTAGTCCACGCTACGCCTATATCATTCCCCAGGAAGTCCTGAACCTTTTCGATGGCTTTCCCGCGACCGTCGACGTTTGACTCCGTGGCCGGAGTCCATTCTCCGCCAACACCCTCTGCCAATTCTGTAGTTTGTCCTGGAATTCTTCCTTGCTCTCCGCTATCAGAGCGATGTCATCAGCATAGAGGATGGTCTTCAGTGTTTCATCGTGAGCAGGAAGAGGAACGGGCTCAGAGCTGATCCCCGGTGTACCCCAACCGTGACATCGGGTGCTCCGATTTGGCCGTGTGGGGTGTGTGGGGTGCGTATTGTTGTGGTGGAGCCATCGTACATCCTTTGCCAGAGAGATCATATGTTCTGGAACCTTTCGCTTTCGGAGCGCTCTCTAGAGGACTTGTGGCGGGAGTCGGTCGAAAGCCTTCTACAGATCGAGGGAGGCTAGGTAGCAGGGTCTACGTTTTTCCTTGATACTTCTCCATAACTTGCCTAGCTATGAAGATGGCATCCGTTGCAGTCCTTTCAGGCATGAAGCCGAACTGCTCCTGTGAGATTGGGACCAATTCTTTCAATCTTGAGTCGACCACCCACTCGTATAGTTTCATCGTGTGAGCAGTCAACCTGATTCCCCATAGTTGGGACAATCCATCGCGTCCCCCTTCTGCTTGTGGACGATAGTATTCCTCCTCCACGCATCTAGGATCCTTCCTTTAGCGGTGACAGTGTTTGGGAATCGGGGTGGCTACTTCATCCCGTGCTCTCCGAGCGCCTTCCATGCCTCGATCGGTACTCCATCCGGACCAGCTGCCTTCCCAACCTTCATCTTTCCCAATGCTCTACGCACCTCATTCTCTGTCCAGAGATTGATGGGGCCAGCCGTTGCCTTTGATTAGGAGCTGTTCGTACAGGCAAATTCTTCGTTGAGGAGCCCGTCAAAGTATTCCTTCCACCTACGCCTGGCCTCACTAGGCTCCCTCAGAACTGCACCCTCGCTGTTCCTGACGGACTTCACTACCCGATGTCCTGAGCGGTGCGGTGACGAGCTTTCGCCAGGC